CCATTATGGAATGAAGATAATGCGGAGTTTCATTTGAAAAATCTTCCAAGCGATCCTGGACTACGACCTAGCATAACGAGCTATCCGCCAAATTTGATACAACAGGTTCGTAGAGCTTACTTGTTAAAAGGTCCATGTCAACCACGCGAGCATGATTTTCCTCAAACTTTAGATGGAAATCGAAAATGTAAATTTGTTGCATCTTGGTTTGATGAATTCAAGGATTGGTTGGAGTATAGCATTGTGAAAGATGCTGCATATTGTTTATATTGTTATCTTTTTTTTTATGGGGAGCAGTGAAAGAGGTCACGATGCTTTTGTAGTGGGAGGATTTAATAATTGGCGGAAGAAGGAAAGACTAAGAGATCATGTTGGGAATCATAATAGTGATCATCATAAATGTAGAGTTGCTTGTCAAAATTTGATGAATCAAGCTCAACATATTGATGTGTCTCTTTCAAAAGCAACAAGTCAACCAAAATTGATTATCGTTGTAGATTGAATGCATGGATTGTTTGCTTGTGTTATCTCATTATGCAAGGTCTACCTTTTAGAGGGAATGATAAGTCATATGAATCATTAAACCAAGGGAACTTTATTGAACTCCTAAAAGTTCTTGCTTCATGTAATGAGGAAATACATAACGTTGTGTTGGGTAATGCTCCTGAAAATCATAAACTTACTTCTCCTATGATCCAAAAAGATATAATTAGTGCGGCATCAATCGAGACAACAAATGCTATTATTGAAGATCTTGGACATGATTTTTTCTCTATTTTAGTTGATGAGTGTCGGGATATCTCAGTAAAAGAGCAAATGGGTGTTGTCATACGTTATGTGAATAAGAGTGGATGTGTTATTGAACGCTTTCTTGGTTTGGTTCATGTTAGCGATACAGCTGCAACTTCACTCGAGCAAGGTATTTGCTCTTTGTTCTCTACTTATGGCCTGAGTATTTCTAGTTTAAGAGGACAATGTTATGATGGAGCGAGCAATATGAAAGGTGAGTTCAATGGACTAAAAAGTTTGATATTGAAGAAAAATTCTAGCGCATACTATGTCCATTGTTTTGCTCACCAACTCCA